AAGCTTGTCGTCATATACTAATTTAACACAAAACAAATATAAAAGCAAATATATCTAAAAAAATATATTAAAAGAATAAAAAAAAATAGAAATAACACCAATTAGTAATTTTTAATTGGATTTGCAAAATTAGGGTAGTCTCACCTGCATATAAGCAGATATTATTTGCTTAAACACATGCTGATAGGTCATTAATGTAAATCAAAAAAAAACATTGGTCCAAGTGTTAAACCTTTTGACCTTTTGGTACAACTATCTCTACAGGTTTTGAAGTAGAGATTTCACTATTCGGTAGACTGACTAATTATTGATATTTATTTTGTACGTAATATTTTAAATAAGTGCAATGTATCACCTCATTCCATAAAGTTGTATTTTGGCTAAAAGCATTAAGTAATTAATACATTCAAAAGCCTTACTCAAGTCTAAAAAAGTAGTTGATGGAATATTTTTGATTTGATTTCTTTAAAAATGTTTTCTAATACATTTATAATTGCTGTGATTGTTTATTTTTTTATCTATAGCCATACTGATGGTTGTAGATCATTGTTTTGGAATAGGAACTACTTCTGAAAATTTTAATCATCAGAAAATATCTTTTGATCAATGAATTTTTTGAAAATTTATGACAATATAAATGAAACTTCCTTGTCCTTTTATTATTTTGGTATTGAAACCATATGTATCAAAACTATTAGGGTTTTTAAGATTTTATCCCGTTAGGATCTGTCGGAGTAATAAAGAAGGAATTTAATTTTTTTGCAGATAAAAATTTACATCAAATTGAGGATTGGGCAAATGTTAAATCAGGTTAATCAGTTAAATCACATTGACAAAAAAATCGTCAAACTCTTCTGCAGCAACTTTAAAATTTGTATGATTTGATTTGATGATTTTTAATAATCTTCCAGGTTTTACATAATCTTTAATAAAATTAATGTTAAAAATGTTGAGGAAATTTTGGACAAATTTTTTTATATATGTTACATAAATAAAAACACTAATTTATTTGATTTAATTAGAAATAGTGGTAGTAAAAAAAAGTATAGACGAATTGTAAACCCATTACCCACTACGCGTAATGGGCTTTTTACGTACCTAATATATTATTTAGTAGTTCCAAAATCACTTTCAAAATTTATTGAATATAGGCCAAAAAATAAGATAGGTACTGAACCATTTCAGGCAGGCAGGCAGTGTATTCCAATTTTCCAAACAAGGACATAAAATATTTCAATTTGCCATGTACGCAAATATCAAAATGTTAAAAAGGATAAAATAGTAATTACGAAATGATTTGATTAATGCAGCGTTTTGTTTATTAAAACAATTCTTTTTTGTTTGACTATATCGAAAATTTAAATTGATTAGATATTGTTAATTCATGTATGTATGTACCTTTCTCTTTTGCGTTTATTAAATTATCAATAATTCATCATACAGTTATAATATTATTTAAATTGCAATGTGGATTAGCGATTATGTTTTTTAAGCGGGAGTATTCAAAAATTAATTTACATTTTGTTGCTATATATTTTTAGTTAATTAACCAATGGCGTACCGAATGCTATTAAAATAATAAATAAATAAGTTTCACCCAATCTTCCATATACATTCTTATTTTTTTATAATTATTTTTCTGTTTAATTTCATTTTAGTTTTACTTTTATTTTTCGTATAACCTTTATTTTGATCTTCTTGACCCTATATTCATATTCTATTTTCAATAATTTGTTTAGCACTATATTTGCCTTTATATTTTAAAAATTTTATATTTCTACCTCCTTCCTTTATTTTGTTTCCTATTTTTATCCATCCACTTTTTTACTTTGTTTTTAAATTCTTTTTTTTTCTATATTGTGATATTATTTTTCTAAATTAACTTTTTTACCCTCAATTTATATTTTTATTTCTTCTACTTCTGCATTTGTCTCTTCAATTTTTATATTCAATTTAACTTCTTTTCTTTCTATAGTTATTTATCATTTATTTATACACATTATTCTTTATTATATTTGTTTGCTTTTCAAGTCTCTATTTTTTTTAACATATTACCATCATTTTCTTTAAATTTTCCTAATTTGTTTGTTTTTTCTTTCATTTTGTTTGCTTCTTCAATATTTGTATCTATAATTTCGTCTCTCTTCTTTATTATTTCTTGATTGTTTTCTATTTTCCCCTATCTTCTTATTACTCTCTTGAAACTGTTTTTTATTGTATCATTTAATTATTTTTATCTTCCTATATATTTTTCTTTAATTTATCCATTTTCTTACTGTTTTTATTTATTTTAAGGAGCATCTTAATTTCTTCTTTCTTCTGTTTAGTTTCAACTATATCCCTCGCTTTTCCTCCTGTTTCTTTTCTTGTATAACTCTATTGTTTAAATAATGTTCATTTATATCCGACTTTTATATTACACTCTTAACAAACCTTTAGTTATCTATATTTTTTTATCTTGTTTCCCCTAATTTAAATTTCACCCATATTTTCAAAACTTTCTACCTCAAATTTCTATTTAAATGACATTCCTAATTGCAATATACATGTACATATAATATGCATACTTACATACTATTATTACACATTTCTCCAAATAAAATCAACAATTTAAATAATATGGTTAAAAGGTCTTGCCAATATTATTTTGTTCCAATTTACCTGCATTCTAACTCGCCCAAAATTTGTCAGCTCTTTTATTCGTTACATGCCCCACGTTGGGCGCCAATCGAAGAAAATTTTCAAGTTCAAAATCTACAAAATCAGTTGAAATTTATAAAAAATGTACTTGGACAATAAAAAGAAGAAATGAAAATTTTTCTTTCCAATAGTAAAATGCAAGTATAATTATAAAAAATTGAGTATATTAAATTATAAAACATGTTTCACAGTTAACTAAAATTTTTAAACGCCACCACTGCAGTTGATTAACCCAACCGGCCGGCCATTGTATAAAAGAGAGATAAATGAAATGTTAATTCATTTTGATCTTTTATGTCAGTTGACAACTCTGTTTCAAAAATTAAATTCGAATTGCTGAATAATAAAATAGCTCGATATGTCTATATCTATTTGTTCGGAGTGGATTTATATGGGGTAAAACGCAATGACCCATTAGGCTCCAATGTAATCGAAGGCTAAGTCAGACGAGCTTAGGAAAAAAGAGCGACATAGTTTTTGTTTAATTTAATATTTTTGGATGATATATCAGTTTTATAATGCATGATTTTTATCGCAAAAAGTCATGTCGCTTAAAGGATTTCTAAAAGGACTGAAATTATTTAAAATTTTCTTAAGAAACTAAAAATACGAAACAAATAATATCCTAACTCGATCAATTTGTTCAATTCATATTATAAATTACACTCTGAATAACATAAATTTTGTTCAATTATGTATTATATTGTTTTTGTTCTATTTCTATCTAGCTCAAAGGCACACCATCTTCGGCGTAATCCTTTAAGGATAAGACGCTTCCTTGATATTGGGTCGGGTTTCTCTAACGACATTGGCGCCGTGGATGTACCGCGACGTTGACGTTGAGTTGTACTTGTGGCTGAAAGACGATCATGTTGCAGCAGCTCATTTATAGGCCGCAAGAAGACAACTAAAATACAATGCGTTTATAAACAGCCTTTTGGTGTAGGTTAATTTAATTTTGAATTTAATTCTGTAATTGACGACTAGTTTCAGGTTACAAGATATTCATCAGGGATAAAAAAAATTAATGAATTTTGTATAATTCGTATTAAGAAATAATAGGAGATACATAACAGATTAGTAGAAGGTTCTTGCTACGGTTTATATCAGATTGACAACATAGACGTATTGGACGAGGATGACGAGGATGACATTGAGGACGATGATGATGACAATAATGATGAAATGTTAGTAATATTGTAATATTTATGGCACGTGTTATAAATTGTATAAGCGTTGAAAGAATGGACGCTTTGCACTGTTAGAAATATATGTGTTGAAAGCATGGACGCTTTGCACTGTTGTAACGAATGAGTGTTGAAAGCATGGATGATTTCAACTGTTGTTAATGAATTAGTGTTGAAAGCATGGACGCTTTGCATTGTTAGTAATAAATGAGTGTTGAAAGCATGGACGCTTTGCAGTGTTGTAACAAATGAGTATTGAAAGTATGAACGCTTTGCGGTATTGTTAATAAATTAGTGTTGAAAGCATGGACGCTTTGCATTGTTGGTAATAAATGAGTGTTAAAAGCATGGACGTTTTGCACTATTTTTAATTTAATGAGTATGGGCTTTGCAGTGTTGTTAATAAATCAGTATGCGTATTGAAAGCATTAGCGCTTTACACTGTGGCTAATGTATAGATGATAAAAGTATGGATACTTTACAGTGTCAGTAATGCGTGTTTGTTGGAGGGTTTGCACTGTGCAAAATGATTTAAGTTTAAGTGTTATGCATTTTTATTGATGAATTGAAAGCACGGATGTTTTATGCAGTGAATAACATTGACAACGTAGGCGCTAGTATGGATAAGCAACTAGAGTTTAAAGATGTAATAATAACTAAGTAGGTACCTAAAACAATTTTGTTTTCTTATTAAGAGCATCAACGGGGACGCCGTTCTCGAGAACAAAGCCAATGCCTCGTAACCTATTTCATGAAGAAAAGTGACTTCGAGAGCGAAGTCCGTGTCAGAATTGGCCGTGTTAGGAACTATCTTTAATTTTATTTAATTTGTATTTATCGACGCCCTGTATATATTTTTTTTGGAGTGAATTAACGTTTTTACCAGATAAGCACCAACCGTGGTTGGTCGTGTGGGGATCAGTTTTCAAGGATATCTCAGCACGCTCGTTTGAAAAGCCGTCTGTATTTATCTAATTTATCTTATTTTTGAATATAATTATTAGTTATTCGATTTGTTGTTTTTAGTGCATTAACAAGATGTATTGTATGTATTATTTTGATACTTTAATAATAATAGAATAGCTGTTTTTTATTATGTCCTTCGTATTTTATCTTTCTTTTGGAACATCTTTTAAATACGATGAATAACTGTTCTTTTAGCTATACTAGTTAAAAAAGCAATTTTTTCAATGGTTTCCTGGTATTATGTTATGATGAAGGTGAAAATACTTTATATCTTCAAAACTTAAATAATTCAAACAATTAATTTATTGGAGTTGTAAAACATATCACCTATCTGTCTACCTAAGACAAATTTTATATATCCTACTTACGCAACTATTTATGTGTACTTTTAATATTTGTTAATGTTTTAAATTGCGGTGCGGTACAAGATATTGGAATCATAAATGTTTATAAGTAGTTCCCCAATTTATTCATTTCAGATACAGTTGCTGCTCGTTTGGTAAACCGTCTGTTTCTATAAATAAGTATACTTATCATCGACCTTTAATTGACTCTTTAATGGCACAAAACTATTAACGTAAAAACAACAGGGATTTACTTGCTTTTATATCTATATAAAGCAAACGCTTGTTGAATTCTAATATCAGTGGCTCATATATATTTATAAGTCGAACTGACTTTAATACCTCAATATAGTTTTGTAGAATGACTACCAAACTCACTGTGATAATTTTAATTGTTTTTGTTGGAATTTATGAAGAAACACAAGGTAAATATTAATAGATTATTTAATGTTTAATAGTGAACTGATTTCTGTCATTGGTGTACAAATTAAAATATTACGATTATCTTTCGTGAAATAAAATACAAGTAAAACAATTATAGTTATTAATTTTAAGGTCATAAAGAGGTTTTTAATGATTACATGCATACGTATTTAATACATATTTTTGTTTTGGATGGTTTTTTTATCTCAATCATGGAAAGTTTCTTAACCTAACCTCTCTTTAATCGCCGTCTCTGCTTGTGTCACTTTCTTTGCTTTGTCTGTTTCTGCCTTTCCTTATTCGATTAAGCCTCCTTTTTATTTAAATAGAACTTTCCCTAACTTTCTTATTTTTGTTATTTCATCTATACCATCTTTAATTTTATCATCTATATAACTTTGTTTCAACAAACTTTTCCATCTAACTTTTATAAATTCCTCACTGATTTTCTTTTATTAAAATCCTTGATAAATATTCAATTAACAACCCCCCGACATTATAATTTTCTACTTTAAATTTTGATTTACAAAGACTTCACCATATCAATATATTAATTCCGATATCCTATATATAAATAGAACATTATGTAAATTATTAACCAATGGATAAACTGCATTTAAAATTTAATTGTAAACGTATTTGTGAACTCTACAATAAAACAAAATATTTATTTTAGCTGCATGTCCTACGATAATAAGCAGGCAAGCATGGGGAGCAAAAGCAGCTAAATCCAAACAAAATTTTGCCCAAAATCCTCCACCGTATGTAGTCATCCATCATTCCGAAACGCCTTCCTGCACTACAAGTGACAGCTGTACACGACGTGTCAAAAATATTCAAGATTTTCACATTAACAGTAGAGGATGGAGTGATATTGGATACAATTTTTTGGTAATTAAGGGTTGTTTTTATAATGTTTATACATCCACATAATGAAAGAGATTTAAGAATTGGAGAAAAAACATTGTAGATTCTACTGTTCGTTCATCTCTTTTATTACTTTACTCCTCTGATTTATCCTAAGCAATATTTTTTGTTGCACCTCCCTAACTTATTTTTCAATTCAAAATACATTTTTTATAGTTATCCCTAAAAAAAGTGGAAACACATGTATTGAAAAATTAAAAAAATACGTATATTTCCAGGTATTAATTCAAACCATCTACATGCACTTCTAAGCATTATCTAAGGCGGATCCTCCCCAATTTTTGAGAACTAGGTACATCGAGCTGTAATTTTGTTTATTAAGGGTAGATACTGTTACTTTCTAATTTCTTGTTTTCACTTGACCAACATTGAAGTATAAAAGTGAATATAATAAAACCGAAACTTGTCAAATACTGATATTGCCCTTAGTAAGCAAAATCAATGTTGGAACATTTTCTATCTCTGTTATGTCTCTAGGCTATAATGCATTGTCTGTTTAGGTATGTAGAGAAGCAGTTTACTATCTTTTCATTTACATTTGGTTACATTTACGATTTTTTCCTTCTTCTATCATTAAATTCTTTACAAAATATTTCGTAATTTGTCTTTCAGTGACCATAGTTCCCCGAATTTCAAGTAAAAATTGTATTCCGCTATTTTTCTGATCGTTTCACTTTAGATTTTACTTACTGAATATCGCAAATTTGCCATATAACATTAAATAGAATTAAAGTATTAAAACAACATTAATCGAATAACTACGCTGTTTATTTTATTAGTTTTGTGTCTGTGTTTTTTTTTTAGATTGGGGGCGATGGTAATGTTTACGAAGGTAGAGGTTGGGGTATCCGAGGTGCCCATGTACCGAAATATAATAGTAGAAGCATAGGAATCTGCATGATCGGGAATTTTCAAAGTAAGTACCTACCTATTAATCAAAATAAGAGTTTCACGGCATAATTCACAAATTAAGAGTATCGTCATTTGGGGTGAAATTGATCATAAAAAAGTTTTTAGCCGAAATTTGTCGGTAGATGTTGGTGATGGGAATAGCTTCAAATAATCAGAAAATTTGAAAAAAAATTACTGAAGGCCTGGAACGAAAAAAATATCCTGAACAATCTCATACTACGTGTGGGGTGTGATTGATCACGAAATTTTTAATGCATAGAATAAACGTAGACGTCCATAGAAATTGATTAATCTGACCCCAGTCTATTTTGAACTCACGGTTCAAATTTTATGGGATATTTTAGAATATGGGGTGAGATTGATCAGTGCGGGTGAGAATGATCAATAAACAATAATTATCGCTGCGATGTAAAAAAAATACAAGATCAGACTTTTGAACTAAATATTTATGTTCTGGATCAAAAACAAGAAAAAACTGTTACATAAAGCTAAATATTATAAAAATATATATAAAAGAAAGTGGAATATTCTTACATTTCGTAAATATCGATTTGTTTTTCAAATGAATAAGTTACAAATTCATCATTAGGTTGGGTAGCAAATAGTTTTCGTGATATGTCACACGATTTTAGCCCTAAAAGCTCAATTTCTTGTTCTCCTTCGACAGAATTCATGCCCTGTACCACGGCTGCGTAACGATACACCGTCTTTTTCCTAGATCCCCCCCAGGACCTTCACTAATATGAGTTTTCCAACTTCGATATCTTCAATTCGGGGTTCAAAGTATTTAGATTCATGTCGTACAGCCTCTTCAACGTCTTCTTCTAAAGGTTCGTCATCTGAATTGTCGTTTGTTACTGGTTCATTGACATCTGATTCGCTAGAGCTATCATTGTTTGCTGTCACACTTCTGCCAGGCTCCACATTAAGCTTCTGGCGTTTTATGTTTCTTCTTGTCGGTGCTGCTGAGAACCGTTGTTGTTGTAAATAGTTTAAAAGGGTCTCACTGACATCGGCCCCAGGGTCATTATCATTAGCTGGAATTTTGCGCAAAACACTCTCTGGATCAATTGGTATAATTCCAGTTGCTTGAAATGGACTGATGGGTTATTCTTAATGGCATTATCAGATGTGTTCTCCATTTCGGCTAAAGTAGACGCAAGCAGTTGCGGGAAATCCTTCTTATCTATTGACGTTTGTTGTTTATGTGCCACCTTCCAATTCGTCAACAAAATAAATAAATTTCGGAATATTACATGCAGAAACATCAACAAATAGCGCCATGCAATCAGTTTTCTTGTTACTATATCACAATTTAACTTACCAATCAAAGTTGTAGAAGTTGTAAATGGAAGCAAAATCAGTTATGCAATTTAAATTGAGTTTTCACACAAAAAACAGCGACCTAACGACGTGACCTGTACATATTTCCTTCGGCCATGTTTCTGCTAAACAAACATGGCGGTTTGACACGAAACGAATCGACGATTCGCGCGCCAAACTTGAATTAATATAAATGCAATCTAGTGATCAATCTCACCCCCGGTGATCAATTTCACCCCAAATGACGGTATCTGTAATATGAAAATATAAAAATAGAGGTATACTGACATTCTTTATAACTTCTCCAACCCATTTCACGAATTAACAATGAAAAACTTTTATTCCATGCAAAATTTAATAAAATTAGAAATATGCTTTCGGAATTAAGCCATCTTCAGTATAAATATAAATATAAAATATTTTTGAAAAGATAACAATTTTAAAAAACAAAGTAAAATAGCTTTTTACAACTTAAAATAAGAAAAAAAAAATAACCCTTGCTAACAACATTGAATAGTTATTTATTGTTTCGGCCTTTACTTGATGAAAATCCATTTAATTTTGAAAGAGTAAAACCAAATTTGGTAGATTTTCACACTTTTATTTTAAAAATAAAAATTTTTAAAAAAACACTAACATGACATATGTTTCGAAGTACAACTTCTTTTTCAAATGTGACTATTTACAATTCGGTATCCAATATATATATACGAAATAATTTAACAAAACAAAGTACTTAAGAAAAGATCAATAACATTACAAAATAAACTAACTATTTAAAGTAAATAAGGGTACTTAGGTAATTATAATATCCATCAAATAACAATAAGATAGCCCATTACCGGGATTATCTCACAGAAAACTGGGAAAGAGATTTAATAAGGGTGAATTATTAATATCTAATTGATCATTTAGTAAGTTATCTGAATTTTTAAATCTATTTATTTCAAGTGTTTCTAAATGGTTTAATTTAAGGCTCTTATTTTCTACATGTAAAATTTTAAAGTTGTCTGTAAAAGAATGAGTTTCAGCTAAAATATGATTTGAGTAAGTAGAATTATTTTTGTTTTTTGTATAGCTATTATAATGTTCGGAATAGCGTTTTTTGAAAGTACGGCCTGTTTGACCAATATACAATTTTGGACAACTACCACAATTTAATTTATATACCCCCGATTTATTATTAGGATTAATTTTACCCTTATTGTTTTTAATATACTTCCCAAGCGTATTATTGGTTTTAAAAGCTACGTTAATATTTTGGTTTTTTAAATATGATGATACCTTTTCACTAGGAGCTCCTATATATGTAAGACTCTTATATCTGCAATTTGGATCTTTAATTATGGGATAAACTTGTTGAATAGCCTGTTTAAAAAGTTTTTTCTCTAAAATGTTGTCTACTAACTTTGAATTAAAATTATTATTTACTGCGATTTGTTTAATGATATTTAATTCTTTTGTGAAGTTCTCTTTAGTAAGGGGAATATTAAATTTTGAAAATTAAATGATAAAACATTAGGTTAAGATGCATACTGTCAAACAAAAGTAATTCAATGATAATGCTTATCGTTCTCGATATCTTTTCAATAACATGGTATTGAAAAATTTTTAAATATTTAAAAATGTATTTTAGTTTTCATTGTTATTTTGATAATTGATTTTTAACTTGTTAGTTTTGGTTCTATTTTCCTCTAGTTATACTTTTATTTTTATTTTTTTAGGTATCAAATACGTAAATTTTGTTTGTGCAAATGCATTTAAATTGTTTTAGTCAAAAATACTTAATAATTTTACTATTGATTTATTATTATAATATTGTTATATCTTTATTGATTTTTTATTTATTTATTTATATTTTTATTATTTATTATATTTATTGTTATTTATAGGTAGTACCCCTCCGTCCAACCAAATGGAGGCTTTAAAGAATTTGATTAGTTGCGGCACAGACAGTAATAAGATAGCTTCAGATTATCATCTTATTGGTCATCGACAAGGAAAAGACACTGATTGTCCTGGAGATGCGTTATACAACTTAGTCAAAACAATGCCGCATTGGGATCGTAATCCTAACTAATTATAATAAATGATCAAAATAAAATGTCTTTTAATGTTCAATAAACACTATTATGCAGAAGTTCTTGAAATGCAAACGGCTTAATAATGAATTACAGAATGAATTTTTCGCCATTTTTCAAATTTAAACGTATTTTAAGGTCTGTTTCATCAAACTGTAGTATTATATATTTTTAGGTTATTTATTCTCCTATGTGCTTTAATCCAAACCTAACCGTATTTGAGCGAGGCCATTCTGGCGAACTGTGTCCAATTTGTTGTCTCCTCAAATAAATAGCATCAAAGTTATTTTACATAATATCAAATTTGTTCAGTATAACACACTTGTGTCAGCAATTTTTACGAAAACAAAATATTTATTGGCAATTTCTGAATTTAAAAATACATCCATACTACTCTATATCCTCCCATTTGCACAGAAAATCTTAAGTATCCATCTGCCCATTGGGACACTATTTTTAATTTACTGCGATATCTTCAAACACATATAAACAGAAATAAATGTGCGATAATAAGGATAATAGTGATAAACGACGTTGTCAATAGTCTAACAACCAAGACGGAGATAATGGTAGAGATAAGACTTGTAAATTGCCTTAAGAACACGGTGAAAAGTAATTGGAAGCGGCGATTTGAAATCAAATGAGCTGCCGAGTTTATCACCTTAACAAAAATGTTTTATTAGTTTGGGATTTAAAGTTGGTGGGCTTCGTAGTGTCTAATATAACAGTGTCCGTTTCGATGAATTTACAGATACGAAGAATAAATTATATCCTAATTAATATGAAATGTTTCTTTGATTAAGAAAACTTTAATTTAAAATGTTTATAGCCTTTCAAATTATAATTTTTAGTGAAGGGGTATTGATATATTCGCTAGGTTAAAACTTTTTAAGTATTTTCCATGAGAATCTAATTTTTCCACAACCGAAATTTATATAGGTGATTAGCTTCTGCATCTTTGTATTTACCTTATTCCAGTAACTGGGTACATCAAAAATGCATGCATTATCCCTTAAAGAAAGCTTGGACTAGTTCTGGTTTGCTCTTCATTTTCCTAAAACTTTACACATCTTCCCTTAATTAGAAAAAACATATTTTTCTTACTGAGACAGCGAAGTTCACAATGAAAAATGATATTCTGTTTCAAAGTCCAGCAGGAATTTCTTAAACCGGTGATTCAAACCTTTTGATTTAATAAATTTTACACACTAAAGAGTGTAAACGGATTAATAATGTCAACATTCTCTGTGATAATTTTGACTTTATTTAAGCTATCACTCCCACATTCTTTCCTATCATCGAGAGAGCTTTACACTATGGTTGTAATACCTGTTATAACTTACTCATCAGTCATATGGTGGCACAATACTAAACAGAAAATTAGACAATGTACAAAGACTAGTCTGTGTAGTAATAAAAGGGACATTTAGAACTACGCCAACAGCAGAAATTGAGCTACTGCTAGATCTTCCTCCACTACACTTTGTGGTGGGGAAAAAGGCTATGGCGATGGCATACTATGTTTACTATGTTTACTAATGAATTTGGATGGGAACTTTCGAGAAAAGGACACCACACAATAATAGAGAAATTAAAACATAATCCGGTACTAAAAATCTTATAAAACGTCCATTATTCACGACTTCAGGAAACCTTTCGATATTCAAATACGAGAAAGGGCCAAAAGCCGGGAAAATAGGGAAAAACAAAACGAATCAATTTGGTATACAGACGGTTCGAAAATGAAAAACAGCACAGGATCTACCATGTGAACTCAGGGAGGACCATTAGTCTGAACTTGGGGTCACTGAAGTCATTCAGGCTGAAGTAACAGCAATAAATGCCTGCGCCAAAGTCATGCTGAATGACTCTTTTAGAGATAAGAGGGTTTTTATCATGACAGACACTTAGGCAGCCCTCAAAGCACTTAAAAAGGGTAGAAGTACAATCTAAATTAATACTTGATTGCCAACAGTCTCTCCAGACCCTGGCAAAACATAACAAGGTCACCCTTGAATGGGTGCCGGGACATGAGGGAGTGTTTGGAAACGATAAAGCAGACCTCCTAGCAAGTGGTATCTCATACCAACATGTTAAATGGGTGTTAAAGGAACAAATAAATAGAGAAACGTGGAACAAAATCAACTGCTAAACTTTAGCAGCAGCGAACTCAAGGCCGTGATAGGGATGCGGCCTTAGGAGACACCTAAATCTCCTAGGGATATCTGATGACTCCCTATATAGAATATGTGAAGAGGAGGACGAAATTCCTATTCACATATTATGCCACTGTCGAAACCTTGAATGGGAACGGGCACGGTACTTCGGGGTACAATATTCGGAACCTGAAGAAATCGCGAAAACGCCCATCAGACATATTCTTGAATTCATCAAGAATATCAGTCTGATAGGATAGAAACTGTGAGGGGAATAATAAGCCTAGAGTTTCAGTATGAGTGGGCTGTGAGCCACGCCCTAATTTAGATAGATATATCATCGAGGGAGCGTCATCTGTAGTGACAACCCCTAACTTTGCTCAGTTCAGTTATAAAAACATTCATCAAAAATATCAGAGATCAAGGCGCGAGAAAATCATCTGTTATTTTCAAATTCAAATACTGTCCGAATAAAAATTGATCTGGCACTGTAACACCAATATCGGTGCTTTTGTCCAATGCTACACTTTTCCATCCCTTCTCCAAGAGCAACTTTATTATTTTGGGCCATTGTATCTTTTCGTCTTCTGACTGTTCGTCTATTTTTCTTTTTTCTGGACACACAGATATTGTCCAATTCTATTAAGTGCTCTTTCACAAATTCTTTCTTAAATTCTAGATTCGTTCACTTCTACTTATTCTTTTACATTTTCTTATTTTTTTAAATATTTGGTGGTACAAGATCCTTTTAAATTATATTCTGTTAAAACCACGAGGGCTTCATTACATATCAGATAAATTGGCTTGTCCTTATACTTAAATAATCTTGGATCCAATATTTCTAGTAGGCTTAACGTTATTTCTTGATCACTTTCTATATTTACTATTCGAAAGTCCCGACATTTTTTGAGCTCCAAAACACTCATAACACTATCAATCCAACTTTTGCACTTCGAAACTAATCTTAATACAGATTGGCTGCTGGTTCTTATACGAGTACAGTAGGTGGCCTAAGCATACATGCATGAGTAACAGACGCTGTTCTCCTTACAGCTAGTACTGGTGGCAGCAAAGCTTTTGATATGTGGTATCCCTTTCCTACACCACTGGCAATTTCCTCCACTAACAACGTTATTGCCAACAATATCTTGCCCAAAGAACCATAAAGTGATTCTGGAGAAATAGTTTGCCAACTTAGTATATTATTCGGGGGTTGTTGTAGTGGCCGTCGCCGGTGGCTGGAAGGGGCGCGCGGCGGTAAGGGAACGGGGGGAGACGGTAAAGCGTTAGCCGCCCCAGACCGTGCTTTGTTGATTAATTGTGTGTATACGCCATTCTGTTTCCTCGTTTCTTGTGTCGTCAATTGAAACCTGTTAATGTCTTTTTGCGATGGTTTGCTGGTGTCACGGTGACAAGCCGAAGTTGGAAATTTGCGAGAAAATATCATTAGCATTCTTGGAGTTTCGGCGATTAAATTATTTCGGAGTATGTTAAGGTTTGATGGACCGTAGCTAATTTGTTTATAACTATTTACCTAACTAACTTATTACTAGCGTGTACTACAATAATTACAATAGTCTACTTTGACATAAAAGCTATTACAGTGCATACCAATGTAACCTAAATGTGAGAATTCTGAGCAGTTGGTTTTAATTCTAGGAGACAAAATAATGAATATTTTATATTTTATTCTTTATTTTTTAAAATGAAATGATGAATTAAACTATAACGTAGACATTTTTAATAAAAATGGTTTACCAAAAAAAAATCATTAATATAACGGTTTTATTTAAGGTTTAATGAATTGTTAATTAAGTTTAAGAGTACTCTAATCCTTTCTCAGACTAAAATCTACCGTAAATTAATGTTTAATTAACGGTAATAAAAAATAGGATTAAAAAATGACAAAAAATAGTTAAGTAGAGTTTCTAGAAAACTAGAAAAAAGCTAAACCATCTGTATTCAATTTTTAATATAAACGTTTCTGTTACTTCAAAATAATAACAAAAAAGATGGTACCTTTATACTATACATGAGTATGTTGTAATTTTTATTAGGTCACTGTAGTTGGTAGAGAATAAACCCTCTAAAACCTTGAGTGCAAATGAATAAGTAAAATGAGTAAGTAAAAGGAAAAGCTGACCGAGTTAATGACCAGCGGTAAGTTAATGTGGCAGAAGACTAAAAAGCAAATTAAAATCCTTTTCTTGACAGAGGAAGAAAACGAAAAAGTAATCGGCACTCATAAGCATCCTCTGAAGTTTTAAATGAATGTCGGAAAGATGATACCGTGGTTTTAGTTTGTGAAAGGATGGTTTTAGTGGGTGACCAGGGCTTGAACTGCAATGTTTGCTTTGCTATTAACACAACACTTGGTTAACTCAGAAGGTTTCATTCTCTTAAGTCCTCTTGTTAGGTTCATGTTGTCAAGAAGCTAGATCGCCTCAACGTTCACATTTTGGTGGAGCCTTTGTTCGTGACTCCTAGCGAATCTGGTGAAAGTCTGGTCAACAGTGTTTATCTGAAGGTCTCGATGAGGGTCGCTGTTTCTAATATACCAAGGAGCATCGACAATGTTCCTTAACACTTTGTTCTGGATTCTCTGGATTATTAGAATATTACTGTTGATAGTACAACCGCAGAGCTTAATGCCCTAGGTCCAAATTGATTTAAGGACTGTTTATATAAAATAATTTTGTTATATGTAGATAGAGTGGAATGCCTACCAAGTAACCAATTTTATATCTAACCCATGTCTTTTCTTTTCAACATCGACCTTCGAAGTCTTGCGCCTAGATATTTTGCTGAGTTAGCATAAGGGATCTGGGCATTATTTATGGTAATTTAGTATTCGTTGATCATGTTTGTTATCAAAATTATTATTAACAGATTTGGTTTAGTTTAATCCAGTTATTTATTTGATTAACTGATCTTTGTAGTTTATTTGTACCCTCTTCGATGTCTTTGTCTATCGCTAGGATGGCAATATCATCTGCAAAT